GAAGCGACAGTAGGGTGCAACGGCTCAGGAGGTTGATGGATCAAATTTGCATGAAACATAAAACTTGTAGGGTCCCACCGGGCGTGCTGTAACAACAAATTTTATGAAAAAACATAATATTTCATGAGGTGTTTGATTTATGGGGTGTTTGAGGTGTTTGAGGTGTGATTTGTGGGATTGATGAGAGCCCTATTTATAGGTGTAGGAGAGAGAGTCTTGGAAAAGAAGACATTAATTTGATTGGTCCTTCTTGATTTGATATAATCTCTATTCTTATCCTAAGATTTGATATAATCTCTTTCCTTATCTTAAGATTTGACTTGGTGGGCAAGAAACATTTACTTTATTAATTAAATATCTTATTTATCTTGAATTTATGTCCCAAAAATAAATAAAGACATTAATTAATAAAACTTTAAAATTTCGATGTCTACAAATGCCCCCTTGAGACTTGTTCACGGACAAAATGTCTCGGTAGTGAATGAGTCTCAAAATTTTGCATTTAGTTTGTACATGCAGATAGTTTAAACTCTTACCTAGGAGTTTTCGACTTGAATTTGTAGATAGTTTAAACTCGTATCAATGAGTTCTTGATATGTAGACCTTTTACTCTCGTGTCAAGGAGATCTTGGTATGTAGATATTTTATGCTCGTGTCAAGGAGCCTTCAAGTTTGATATGTAGACCTTTTATTCTCGTGTCAAGGAGATCTTGATATGAAGACATTTTATGCTCGTGTCAAGGAGCCTTCAAGTTTGATATGTAGACCTTTTATTCTCGTGTCAAGAAGATCTTGATATGAATACATTTTATGCTCGTGTCAATGAGCCATATAGATAGTTTAGGCTCATATCAAGGAGCATATGTAGATAGTTTAAGCTCATATCAAGGAGCATATGCAGATAGTTTAAGCTCGTATCAAGGAGCATATGAATTTGAGACTTGGTTTATACTCATATGAAGGAGTTCTTCATTTGGCTTGATTTGTAGACAGTTTATACTCGTATCAAGGAGTCTTTAATTTGGCATGATATGTAGATAGTTTAGGCTCATATCAAGGAGCATTTGAATATGTAGATAGTTTAGGCTCGTATCACGGAGCATTAAAATATGTAGATAGTTTAGGCTCGTATGAAGGAGCATCAAATTTATAGATAGTTTAGGCTCGTATCAAGGAGCATCGAATTTGTAGATAGTTTAGGCTCATATCAAGGAGAATTTGAATATGTAGATAGTTTAGGCTCATATTAAGGAGTTTTGTAGATAGTTTAGGCTCATATCAAGGAGAATTGTAGATAGTTTAAGCTCGTATCAAGGAGCATTTGAATATGTAGATTGTTTAGGCTCATATCAAAGAGCATTTGAATATTTGATAGAGCTCTTCATGTGAATTTCCCCCATGCTTCATGGCTTCGGAAGACATCATTCTTCATTGCCCCCATATATATTTTCTTCAAAGAGGTCTTCATGCATCTTCAAAGATCTCCGAACTTGATTTGGAGAGAAGAGATGAGAGGTAGAGAAAGTTCCACCGGGCGTGCCAAATTTGTAACAACAAATTTTATGAAAAACATAAAACTTTCTTTACAACTTGATTTATTTTGATCAAACGATATGCGGGTACAATCTCTATTTATCTCCTCTGATTCTTCTCTTCATGAATTTGGGATTGAGAACTTGAAAGATGGATTTGATGATTGAACCTCCTTCGGGCTTGGTCTTGAATTTCTCTAACATTAACTTTGGGGTCGAATGACTTATTCCCGTATTAAATGTTAGGTCTTGACTTGATTAAAGACAACTTCTTGGAGAACTTGTTTCTTTGATCTTCTGGAAAGTAAGACTTTGACTTGAATAACGTTGACTCGAGGGCTTCATAGATTTTTCTCGAATCAAACTCTATGTTGGTTGAACTTCTCAACGAACGGGGCTTGAATGTCGCTTCAACGTCGTTGATATTCTTGGATTGACTTGAGAAGCGTGAAAGTCCCCTCTTTACTTCTTGAGGAAGAGTCGCCGCCTCTTTTTGTTCTTCTTGGCCTTCTTCTTCATTGAACGGATCTCAGACGGTTCTTCAAGAACTTCTTCAAATCTTCAAGAGGATTTCTTGAGAGCGCTTGAATTTGAGACTTTGATTTTTGAGATGTGTTTTGAGGTGTTTGAGGTGTTTGAGGTGTGATTTGTGGGATTGATGAGAGCCCTATTTATAGGTGTAGGAGAGAGAGTCTTGGAAAAGAAGACATTAATTTGATTGGTCCTTCTTGATTTGATATAATCTCTATCCTTATCCTAAGATTTGATATAATCTCTTTCCTTATCCTAAGATTTGACTTGGTGGGCAAGAAACAATTACTTTATTAATTAAATATCTTATTTATCTTGAATTTATGTTCCAAAAATAAATAAAGACATTAATTAATAAAACATTAAAATTTCGATGTCTACAGGGAAATGGCTTAATTTTTTGAAATTAGGCTTTTCATATTATAAACTAATATTAATCACGTGGGATGCACGGGTAAGAGATATTCATTAATATGTCTCATTAAATAATATTATAAATAAAAAACATGGAATCAATATGGAGTACAATGTACCTATATTAATTTATTGAAAATATTATATAAAATTTAAATGGTGTAAAATTACATAAAAGTATCTATTTAAAATTAGTACACAACCCGCCCGTTGCACATAATTGATAATAAATTACATTATATTCATTTAAAAATATGTGTCATTTCAAAATTTTATTAAAAAATTCGATTTGACTATAACGTGATTCCATAAAATAATTATTTTGGTAAAATTATATCATATATTTAAGAATCTATGAGAATAATAAGTATAAATATAAAACTTATATTGTTTCATTAATTAATATGAATTTATTTTGTATAAAATATTCAAATCAAAATATTTAAGTAGTTGAGTAAAAACAATCAGTCATAAAGTTTTTTATGCCAAAAAAGTCGACACTTCTTATCATGCTAGAAAAATAAATAGTATATTTCACACAAAAATTATTAAAAATGTCGTAACAAAAAATGAATTAACACGAGACCCACTAATTATATAAAAAAAATTGACCAGAGTTTTTTTTATAAAAGAAACATCGATACATGCACATTATATCAAAATATCGGTTCAAATTATTTTGTCGAATTTACGATAATTTTATTATGTTAATTTCATACGAAAATATTTAGACTCACGCCTAAAATCAATATATTGGCATGCTCATTACAGAAAAAAGTACACCGTATATTGATTAATTTTTCGACAAATTTTATACCAAAAAACAATTATCAAATAACAAGAATAAATTTGCTCACTTTATACCTTATATTGATTAATTTATTTCCTATAGAAATAACCATACCAAAAATAAATTTGTCCACTTTGTACAATAAATTCACATGATTTGAGTACTTAAGATATCTTAAAATATGGCTTAATTAGTATAACACCCGTGTATTACACGGGTGCTTGTTAAAAAATTATTCTTAAATTTTAAAATTAATGAGAAAACTATATTAAATTTAGTTTACTTTTTTACAAAAAAAATATATTATATATTTTAGAATGATATGTGTTACTTATGACTTACATGTGTTATATTATATTAGTTTTTATAACTTATATCATATAACTACTTGAAATATAAATATATTATTTGATAAATAATTTTATTTTTCTAATTAATAATAAAAATAATTTTATTATTGTTATAAAGATAAATATAAATTATTTTTTTATACATACAATATGGATGTTAAATCGAAACTCATCAAAAGAAGATTAATTTGATATATTACACATGTAAAACTGATAAAAAATACAGAAGTTATTAACTTTTAAAATATATATACAATTCAATAGTTATAATAAAGAATGATATTATAATGTAATTAATACATGTAACATGACCATAAATAATCAACATATTTATGGTAATCCGAACCTAATTATTTTTGGTTTGGAATTAAATTAAAATTTACTCAAGCCTAATAACGAAGCATGTAATTTTGCCACATAGGATTCCGAAGCACCAGAAGCAGCCACGTAGGCTCAGCGCGTTCTGAATTAATATATAGAGGGGATTACTTCCTTAAGTAACGAGCCACAATTTTCATAAATGATCATTGATGTATACCATAAATTGTTAAATTAATTTACCGAAATAGTAAATAATATTTTTTGGAAGAAAATAGTTACTGTTTAAAAAACAATCAAACTTTTTTATATATAGATTAACTTGTAAGTGAAACATTTGAATAATTGTATGGATCTTTAATTGTATCCATACTTGAAACTTGCAGAGATGGGTATTGTGCTTGAACGTATGTGAAATTACTTTATCTACGTACTTTCATGTAATGTGATGATTTCAAAAAATAATTTAGCATCTCTAGATAAGTACATGTAACTAAGATTTTGGAAAGTCAACTTTTATTTGGAGATAAAGTTCATTCCCACCCGTGGGGTTTCAGAAAGCGATTGATTTCTAAGATCACTTTTGGCGCTGCCTCTATGGTGTAGGTACCAATCTGTCTACATGAAGAGAGAGAGAGAGTAATGAAATAGTTTATACAATGATAAAAAAATATATATCTCTATATATATAATTGCTAGCATATAACATTTAATAAAACCTATTTAATAAAACCTCTAACATTTTTCCCTCCATTTTTGGTTACAAAATTTAACATTAATATTTTTACTTCTCACATTAATACATCATATTAAGTGTAATCATGTATTTTTCCTATTATATTATATTATAGTTATTGCTAATACCAACTAATAATAATTCACAATAAATATAAATTACCTAATTATAAACAATTGTTTCAAGTTATTTATATTAACATCAATATTATCTTGTCCGTTAAAAATAATTGTAATACTTTTCTAACTAATTAAATGTATGGTCCCTCTAGATTACTAATTTCATACGTAAGTTAAATAAATTTTATTTACATTATACATTTGCATATAGTCAAAATTTAAAATGTAATGCATCCATTATCTAATATAAAGTTTTATATATTGTTGTAACGAAAAAAAAAAAAGTTTTATATATTGTATGCATACATATAATAAATATTTTTTTTTTGTGCATATGCACAGGATGAATACTAGTCAACATTTAACGACAGTTGGTTATTTCACAAAGATAGTCATGATTTGTTAGTAGAAATACCTTATAAAGATCATACAATGAAGTTTGACTATGTGTTTGGCCAAAATATTTCTAAGTGTTTGAATAAAATAGACGTTTTGTTAAATAAATGGAGAAGATTATTGCAATACTGTCAAATGAATGAAGAAGATTTTTGCAATACTATTAATGTATTGTGCTCTAACGAGTATGAATGTTTCTTATGAAAACGTCAAAAACCAAAATAAAAGAAAAACATTCTTGAATCATCTAACATAAATAAATAAAAGAACTAACGGATCTATATTGAAAAATGCATTAGCTCCTTATTTAGTTATTTAATATTTTTTTTTTAATTCAGGACTTATTTTTCAGATATTTTTGTTGGTCTATTCCATTATTTTATATTAGGACATCATTATGTTATATATTATGAGCTTATTCGTTCTAAGTTTTATTTCGTTCCTGCAATGATATATTTAATAAATTAATTTACTTATTTTACTAAACTTAATCGGCAAAAAAACATTCACCAACACGTGCACTTTACTCGTATCGAAAATGTATGGCTTGAAGATCAAATTTTTCTTCAACATGTTTCACGTTCAGATTCAGTTGAAAAGTAGGTGAACATTGTATCTAGAATTCAGAGAGGATTTGGATAAGGTAATACGACTATCATTCAGGTAAATGTGTTTAGGGAATCTAGAAGATATATACTATACTTTACAATAAGAATCTTTACATAGAAAAACAGTTTGAAGGACAAAAATCACCTCTACATTCTGGATCATTGCCAACAACATTAAATCCATTGAGTAGCATGAAAAACAGCAATGTTCAGTTTGGAAGCTGAGAAAAGGTCTCAGAATTAGGATTACAACCCCTGACCATCATCTCCTCGTACATTCCGTACGCACGATCCATGTCCCCGCACGTGCTATACGCCCTAATCAGAGCATTATACGTAAATACATCGGGCTTAAGACCCATTAGCTTGAGCTCCTTGTAAATATTCTCAGCTTCCTCGGCCTTCCCAGCTATTCCAAGATTATATATCAAACAATTAAAAGTATAAAGGTTGGGATTCATCCCTCGGCCCCTCATCTCGTCTAGAATAGTCAATGCCTCCTTCACTTTTCCTGCTCGGCTGAGCCCATTCATGATAACATTGTAACAGAATAGATCTGGATCGAGCCCGGCAGCCTTGATTTCCTCAAAATAATACACTGCCTCATCTATTCTACCGAGCATGCAAAAGCAGTCGATTAAAATGCTATACGACTTCATATCTGGTCTAACTCCCTCGCTAACCATTCTATTAAACAGTTCAATGCCGGTTTCAACATCACCTGACTTTCCAAACCCGTTGATAAGAATATTATAGATTGCACAATTAGGCCTGCACCCATATTCGAGCATCTCTTCGAACAAATTCTTTGCCTCGTCTAACCTTTGTGCCTTCAGAAGGCCGTCTATGAGTGGGCCGTACGTAAAAGGAGTAGGAGAAAAGCCTTTGCTTATGAGATTGTAGTACAAATCTAATGCTGCTTCCAATTTGTTCGACTTTGCAAGGCCCGAAATTAGTATGTTGTGAGTTATGTTGCCGGGCTTGCATCCTCTACGGACCATCTCATTGTACGTGTCTAAAAGTTTGTCTACCTTTCCGGACTTCCCGAGATTGTCGAGCATCAAATTGTAGACTGGCACCTCAACACAGATTGCAGTTTTCATATCCTCGAAAATCGCCCAAGCGAGCTCATTGAGGTGAATATCGAGAAGCCCCCCGATCAAATAATATACTGTTTTCCCAGTCGGTCGAATCTTGAAATACTTTGTGAATTTCTCGAATAATTTGTGGGCATCGAGGGATTTCTTTTGCTTGCACAGCAGTTTAATGATCGGCTCCATCACCGAGCCGTGTTTGCAAACACCGAACAACACCAATTTTTCCACAAAAGAAATGACAAGATCAAGCTCTGCTTCCTTCAAAACTCCAGTTACCAAATTTTCCCATAACGAATTATTAGCCGTGTTTCTATTGGTAAAATCCTCAACGATTTTGAAAGCATCATCAATCAAACCGGCTTTCACGACACCTGGCAGGAGAGAGTACAGAGTCGCATTATCGGGATAAATCATCTTTTTCATCTGATGGAAAACCCAAAAAGCTTCTGCAGCCCTATCGTTCTTCGCCAAACCATATATGACCGTGTTGTAAGTAAACAGGTCCGGCAAGCAATCCTTTTTCGTCATTTCATAGAGCATCTTCAGCGCCAAATCAACATCACCATTCTTACAGAGGCAATCCAAAAGAGTATTAAAAGTGATCGTATCTGGATGGCAACCACTTTCTGCCATGCTCTCGAATAACACACACCCCTCTCGAACTCGACCCTCTTTCCCCAGACCAGCCAACAAAGTATTGTAAGTCACAACACTAGGGACAAGCTTCAGTTCCTTCATCTTGAAGAACATATCCCAAGCCTCACTCGACCGGTTGGCCTTGTAAAGGGTGTTTATCAGCGAGTTAATCACGATTACATCAGGATTACAGCCGCTATCAATCATCTCATTAAACAACTTAACTGCTAGATCGATTTTCCCGGAACTACTGTAACATTTCATCATCATGTTATAGGTAATAGAATCAGGCACAAGCCCGCTCTTTTTTATGCCATAAAAAATCGTTTTAGCCTCTGAAAACCGACCAGCCTGAGCAAGACCATATAGAGAAGCATTGCAGGCAACAACACTTGGAGCAATGCCACGTGACTTCATTTTCTCGAAAGTCTCCATAGCTTTGTCCACTTCTCCTAATTTCCCGTAGGAGTCGATGAATAGGATATACGTGTATGCATCTGGCTTAATTCCACAAGTTTCCATCTTACCTAATAACTCTAATGCTTGGTCCATTTTCTTCATTCTTAAAAGCCCACATATCAGAGTATTGTAAGTATGAAGATTCGGCAAGATCCCATTTTCTTTCATTTTATCTAAAACTGCAAAAGCTTCACTAATTCTCCCCACTTTGCACAAAGCATCAATGAGTATAGTGAAAGTAACGACATCAGCTCTATGACCGTCAGCCTCCATCAGTCTCCAAAACTTCCTCACCGAGGCCAAATCTCCACGGTCGCTAAATTTGTCAAGCATAGTTATATAAGTCACACGATCAGGCTTAATGCTGCTTGATTTCATTTTCTCAAACACTTTATTGGCAAAATCGATTTTTCCTGCATTACATAAAGCATCAATGAGAACTGTGTATGCAACAACATCAGGCGCACATCCCTCCTTGTCCATCCTATTAAAAATACTATAAGCTTCGTTAACCTTTCCTGCACGCCCGAGGACCCGGATGCAAATAGTGAAGGTATAGACATTTGGCCTCAATCCCAAATTTTCCATCTCTTGCAGCAAGCCCATGACTGTTTCAGTGTCTCGTCTCTTGCCGCTAGCGACCATTAGAGCAGAATATGTCTTAAGGCTGGGTTTTAGTCCTTCTGAGACCATTCTTCTATAGATCACCAAAGCCTCTTTACAAAATCCTGCTCGAATGAGCAAATGTATTAACCCGTTGAACGAATATGCGTTCAGAAGAAACCCGGATTTTTTCATCCTCTCGAGCGCAAATGGGGCCTGCTGGATACCTCCCCTCACGCTTAGACTCTTGAATATAATGAGATAAGTATCTAAACTCCTGTAAATAATTTGCTTTTGCATCACATCAAACACCACAACCATATCCCCAATCCTGCCATGGACCCTCAAGAGCTCAAGCATATAATTACAAGTTTCTGTAGTGTGCACGACCTGCGACTTACCGGCCACATCTTTAAAGAAGGAAAATGCTTGATGCAAATCACGAATTGATTTCAAATGTGCAATTATGTCCTCATTCGACAAGACTTCAATGGCTTCACTTTGCTGCAAAACTCCTTCATCTGAGCTTTTCATGGAAAACCCACAAATGCTGATGTTCTTCCTCCTGATTTTCATCCTGTTTACCGTTGGCCCATGTGAGGAAATCCCCAAAGAAGCAAATTTTCTTCTTTTAGCCAACCCATAACCGTAATTCGAGACACAGGGCTTGCTCGCGTCACTGGTTAAGTAAACCTGAAAGTAACTACAGCAACAAAAATTCAAAGGGCTAAAAATCATCACGGCCATGCATGAACCAATGAAGAGATAATGTAGCAATCTCGCGGTGGCGCGGGCGGTGGCGCGGGCGGTGGCGGTTGCCTGGTTGGTGTTTGTGAAATTGCTCAACAGACGCAAAGATTACTTTTTTTAGGCTGAAAAGAACAATGATATGTGCAATTGAAATACAGAGTGAAGTGAGGAAGAAGCAAGCAGACAAAGCATAAGTGAAGTGGGCGTTGGCAATTGTATTTGGAAGAGATGATGATAAGCTCACAGCCGAAGTAGCTATAGATAGCATTTTGGGAATTCGGGCCGGGCCTCTCCGGTTTTCTTCTCTCCCGTTCCTCATATTTAACTAAAAGTCGCTATTGAAGAGTAAAATGCTGTTGAAGTCGCTATACTCGGGTCTTCTACCTTTGCATCTAAAGAAAATAACATTTTTTATTTATTTATTTTCTTTTACCCTATTATATTTTTACTCAAAATATATATTGCTTTTCGCATTTGGTATCCGCTATTTCAACAATTTTGGTTTTAACATTTCAAAAATGAATCATTTTTGTTACAAAACGTTAAAAACACACAATCATCCTCTTACACAGTCATCAATTTTCGCCATTGTTTGGTGGAGGATTGAACAAATCATAGATAATTTCTAAACTCTTAACTTGGTCTATTCAACGTACAACCATTTTCATCATACGATACCTTAAAATTTATTAAAATCATTGTTAAAGTTTTGCATTGTATTTATTCTTTTTATTTTTGGCTAGAATGTACTTTATATTGACCGCCGATTATCGAAGATTCCTTTGTTAGATTTTTATAGAAAAACATAATTTAAGTTCATTTTCTTGAACTATTCTACAGTGCTTTAGAACCGTCAATCGATGATTTCAAGTTTCAGTTTTTGACTTGTCGGTCATGATAATTGAAAATTTTCATTGTGTTATTTTCAGCTATTGAAATTTTCAACTAACGATTGGAAGACACTGCTTCAATCTTTAAGGAAAGAATTTCTTAAACATATATTTTTTATACTAGTAAAGTGAATGCGCGATGCACGTGGTGGCGAATGTTTTTGGCTGGTTAAGTTTAGTAAAAATAATTAATTAATTTATTAAACATATCATTGCAGGAACACAATAAATGTAGAACAAGCTCTTAATGTTGTTCTTTTAAATAGCATAATAATATCCTAATATAAAAGTAATAAAATAGTATATTACAACCCCAACAAAAATATATGAAAAATGAGCCTCTTGTAAAAAACACTAAATAACTAAATAAGGATCTAATATATATTATAAATGCATTAGGACTTTCATTTATTCATGTGAGATGATTCTTTTTTTTTTTTCGGAAAGATAGACTTCAATATAAAAAAACACAAGTACATACAAACTAGAGAATAACTAAATAGTCGAATACGCCTGCTACTCAGCTGAATCTAGTTGGGAGGACTAACCCCATAGGCACATTGTTAGAGTAGAATACCCTGCGTTCCAATTAGATTGGATCTATTCTACTTGATTATATAATCTAATGGTATTTATATATTGTACGAGGCATTAATTTATCTTATGTATAAGCATTTTATATTATATTTATACATATGATAAAGTCCTTAGATCATAATAAGCTACAAAAACATGGTTACGCATAGAGATGGTAATCATGGAACATGTCTTTAAAGTTGTGATCTTAAATAAAGTTCCAAGTCGTTGGGTATTTCGAGATAGGATATCGAATAACCCGATAAGACTTGCACATATGATATATGCTTATTGGATAAGAATGTTGCATTTCATCAACATTAGCATGTGATGCAAGTATATATATGTGGATGCTTGTTAGGGAATAAGTTCATTGAACATGACCGTATGATAATTCTTAAATGGAAGTGTTTTTTGTCGAATAAGAATTTTCATGTTACAATAGTACATGATTGATCCTTAGACTTGAGGCACAATGGTAATCTTGTGCATATTGTACTTTATTTTGATTTATCTTTTGATTGCAAAGACAATCAATAAAGGGATATTTTGGGTATTGTATTAATATGTATGGAGATTTGTTAGTGGCCAACAGAGGATTTGACAACACTTATGAGATAAGTGAATTTCCTACGTTTTTCATAGTTTGTGATTCGAAGTCCTTGGCCAAGACAGTATGAATGGAGATTCATAAGAGAATCACAAAACTTGAAATGAAATCATAGTTATTAAATCAATATGGGTTTCGACTAAAAACCATACCCATGATTTAAATCGGGAAATTAGTTGTCGAAAGGATTTTACATGTATGCAATTGTAATTGAAAGCGTTTACTAATACTCGCTATTCACTTAATACTAGGTGATCATGCTACTTGAAGGTGTTCCCATGATTTGTGGGTTCTTGAAATAAAGGGGTTAATTTCAAGAATAAGAATTAATATGATTAATTCAAATTACAAGTAAGTTGTAAGCCCACTACTAGTATTAATAGTGAACCTAAAATGTCACACCAATTTTTGAATGAAAACAAGTTAAAGTGACATTTCTAAAGAGTTAGAATTAATTGACAATGATTAATTAAATAATATGATTATTTAATTAATTATCTAATTATGAATTAGATGTCAATTACAGGAATATTATAAATTAATCAATTGGATTGATTAATTAGATTTTAGATACTAATTAAGTAATTAATGTAATTACTAAATTAATAGTTAGATTTTAAAATATGATTTTAAAATACAAATCCAAATAATAATATGATTATTATAAAGAGGATATTATTATATAATTGAGAGAAAATATTATTTTAATAAAATCTTGAAAAATGTTTTCAAGAATTATTATTTTATCTTTAATATGATTAAAGATTAAAATAATGAAAAGACAAAATAATTGTGGTAGATGGTGGTTATGAACCACTTCACATAATTAATTAAAAGTCAATATTTGGTATGATTATTTAAATAAAATCTGATTTTATTTAAAACAAATAATTACCAAATGTTGATTATTTTATGCTAAAATGTTTAGTATAAATAAGTGCAAAATGTTTGCACATATGTGCTAAGTCTTGAAATTTTTCAAGAGTAGAAAAAGAGAGAAAAAGAAGAATAGTTTTTCAAGATAAAAAAAATTAAGAAAGAGTTCTTAAATAATAAAAAGAATTTTTTTTTTTATCTCCCAATTAAAATCCTCTAATTAATATTCTATATCAAAACCGATACTTTTCTACAAGCGAAAGAAAGAGGTTATTGGTGTTGGATTTCAAAAGGTGGACTCGATTAGGGGGAAGACAATTGGATTCCTAAAGCGAGACGAGTTCAAACCGGAAATTGATTTCCACAAACAACGACGAAGAGGAGATAAAAAGGTATTTTTTGAAATTATCTTACAAATCAAAATTAGTAAAAGTTATTAGATTTTAAATGATGCTTATCCGTTATATCGTTATACTTATGTACGGAATAAGTATTTATGAGATAAAT